CATAGCATTATACACTGTGTTAAATGGAAATAAAAATAATGAAAAACAATATAACAGCTAAAAAAAAAAAAAAGAAAACTTTCTTTCTTGTTTTTATTTAGACCATTTTGACCATTTTTTTTTTCAGATTGACTGATTGTGTATTGATTTAACAACTTATTAAATTGAATAAACTTGTCAAAATATTTATTACTGATTAAGAGATTTTACAGAAAGAAAAAAACTTATATGTCCGATAATTAAAATCTGATACAAATATTTAATAATTATTTTTCATCATTTGAATAATTTTCTTTCCTAAATCAATTATCATGCAACAGAATAGAAATTCGAAAATAATTTTGAATTTTATCAGTCCACAGTTAAATTGTAATCTTTAGAAATAATGAAATTATTTTTAGGTAAATTTTATGGTTAATAATCACAATTTAACATTTAAGTAAACAATTTAAGAAGAAATAAACATCTAACCATTACCAGTTCTACGTATCTAAATCTTATCACAATAAGAAAAAAACAAAAACATTTAAAGATGTGAACAATTTTATTCAAAATTTGTAAAAGAATAATTATTGATAAACTAATAAAAGCCGAAAAAAGGTCGTTGAATTACAACTGAAAGGTCACTGAAAGATGATGGAGGGTCACTGAAAGGCGTCTGAAAGACGACGGAAAGGTCACTGAAAGATAACTGAAATGTGTCTGCTGAATGATGACTGGAAGGTACCTGAATTGTGAAAGGTCACTGAAATGAACCTGCCATTCAGTGACTGACTGGACACTGAAAAGTCACTGAAAGCCGCCTTTCAGTTTTACCTGAAAGAGTTTGTTTCTTCCTTGATATAAAGCGGAAAAAATATTAAGCTAAAGTAAATATATGGATACAAAACATGATAATTATATGTATGGCAATGAATAATTCTTATTTGTGCACCATAAAACTACACAGTCTTTATCTCCTACATTTAAATTCATATTGTAAAATCAATACGGAAAATCTTGCGCTAATGCTAGCATTCCATTTCCATGCTATTTAATTGTCTCCGCCTTTTTTCGGGTACCTTAAACTTGAAAGTGGGCTAGTTCAAATTTCCGGAATTTAAGGCTTTTACATGTCTGTAATTAAAGAAATATGTATGACGAAAAATTCCAGGCATTAATATCAAAAGCATATGCATGCACAATTTAACGATATATTGTAATTCAACGCTTAAAACGGATAGCTAATAAGATTCCAAATGACGTGCTAAAGTGCACTGATTCTTTACACCATAGAAGCCAGCACAAGATACATGTATGTCAAAATAAACAAACATTCTGAGAGTAGCGCATAAGCAATACATGTCCCCTACCGGTATTCCCTTTTCTTTTTAGGATGTCATTTTAAAAGACCCTGTATATGGAAAGTGCCCCCCAAAATGTGGACCTTTCGGTAATTACTTGTTTATACATGAAATGCCTTGGAATGAAGTCTGCCTTACACAGACGTGTTTGACTGTCTCTAGACATACATGCATGTTTTGATCAGAACAGTTCGTGTAAGCAGAACATAGTAAAGAAGTGACAGTCAAACAGTATTTATCTCCAAGACTAGTTGTTTTATTAAAATTGTTTGGAGGTACTGCGATTTAACCTGACAACAACGTTTTTGAAACATTAATTTAGTGCACCACGAACCCGATCCTGAACCCTGTTAAAAACTGATTTACTGTTGGTCAAACGTGACAAAATTCAAACTTGATAAATAGTTTGTCGCTATAAAGCTACACAGCAAGTTTCAAATAAATAATCTCTTACCTGACAACTTCATTTGGAACATTAATTTAGTGCAGTACGAACCCGATTATAAAAAAAGGAATGTTTAAAACATGTAAAAAGTCAAAGGCAAATCCCTTATAGGTGCAAGGAAGCTTCTAGGTTTTAGTTCTAGAAATTATTCTTTTGAGTTTTTTAGCAATTTTTTTTTATAATTTTGTATTAAAAAGCAGAATCTACCAACAGAAAATTGATTTATTCATCTTTTCTAAATTTTGAGCTTCAAAATTTGATGGGCATGCCCCTTGGTCCCTTCTGGTACTGCTTTGCATATGTTAGAAATATAATTTTTTAATGAATGTAAATTACGTATGTAACTTAATATTACCCGCAATCAGGAGGATTTTTGGTGACGGCGGGCCCAGTGCACGCAAGAGATAACAGATTATCAAGTTCCTTCAATATCAAGCTTCATTTGTCTTACTTTGCCCGTCATTTGATGAAATCAACTGGAAATGCATTAAATGTGTTATCTTTCTTTTCATTCCTTTAATATTTCAGATAAAGTTGGAACATTTTAAGTAGAATTATTATTTGTTTTGATGTTATCGACTATTAAATACTAACTGTTTTACCGTGTCTACCATTTGGCGTTTAGTAGATGTAGCTTAGCTTGTTTAGCAGCAAGGTAATTAATGCATATTATTCAGTTTTATCATTCTGGAGTTGATATAGGAAAGATGCTGAAGTTCCTCATTAAAAATATCTACAAGCTTGTAGCCTTAAGAGACCAGATCTTCAAACAATCTGTTGCATGGGTACTCCTTATCCCAATTTATAAGCAGCATGGAAAGAAGAGGCCTTTTTTTCTTAAATTCGACATTTAGATACGTCAACGACGTCCTATCAATTAATTATACTTTTACTTTGCTTTGATATATCTCATTGAATTTGAAATAGAAGACATCAGAGACCCCCCCCCCAAAAAAAAAAAAAAAAATTAATTTGATATCCTTTAAACAATTTAAATGCAAAACAATATTTAATTGTAAATATGTTCATATATTTCCACTTCGAATACATGTATGAAGACTTTATTTTACGTACAACGATAAAGTTCTGACCAAAGTCTAAATCTTCAGATATTCAAAGGTTGTCCTGACATCTTTAAAACAAGACGCCCATGAGCCAAAACGCCCGTCTGAGTCATTATGGCTATGTTTTTTCATCAGTATAATATACTCCCTATACATACATGTACCTATGTATATCTTGACCTCACCCTATCCCAAGGGTCATGATTTGAACAAACTTTTAATCTACAATGCCTGAGGATGTTTCCATATAGATATAGATATGAATAATTGAAAAGAAGAATTTTCATCATGCTATTAGGGAAACTCTACTGGTATTTTTTTTTTTTGCTATGTATTGAAGATTTTTGAATGACCCCACCTAATTCTCCTTATTTCTTATTTATATTTCCTTGGAAGAGGGCGTGACCCTTTCTTTTGCACAAACTTTAATCACATTCATTAAAGGATGCTTTGTGCCAAATTTTTTTGAAATTGGTCCAGTGGTTCTGGAGAGGATGCAAATGTGAAAAGTTTACATGCACAACGAAGACGACAACAACAGCAATAATGACGACTGACAACGGACAAATTTCAATCAGAAAAGCTCATACACAGGTCAGCTAAAGATATAATTCGGATGCATTATCATACATGCACATATTTCAAAGGGACATATTTTCTTGGCATTTCCAAAATATGGTATAATTTTTATGTTGATCAAAAATATTTTTCGACATTTTAATCATATACATAGGTATCATAGATGATTGCAGACTACTTTGTATGATTCATTTTGTACATTTTTTAGGGTTCAAAGAAACCTATACCTATAATGAAGGATTCAAAATCATTTAAAACAATTCAAACCATCTGAAGGACTGTGGGAAAATATGTAAACCAACACGTCTTAGCTCATCTGAGCCTTCGACCCAGGTGAGCTTTTCTAATCACATTTTGTCCGGCATCCTTTTGTCTGTCCAAGTGTAAACATTTCACCTATCCGACTTCTTCTGAAGAGCCATTGAGCTAGTTTTAACCCAACTTCCTACAAGGTATACTTGGGTAAACGGAATTCTATTTTTATTTAAATCAATGACCATTGGCTCTTCAAGGTGAAGATAATTAAGATTAGGCGAAAATTTAATATAATCTTAAAAAAATCTTCTTCTCAAGAAGCACTGAGCCTGGAAAGTAAAACTTACGAGGAAGCATCCTAAGGTAGAGTAGATTCAAGATTATTTAAATCATGTCCCCAGGGGGAGGACGGGGCCACAATGGGCGATTATAGATGTATAATGGAATATTTGGGGAGAAATTCCTCTAGCAAAGGTAAAATTATTCATATAGATATAGAAGCATTCTCTGGTAGTGTAGATTCAAAATAGTTCAAATTATGTCCCGCGGGAATATGATGGAGCTACTCTTGACAATTTAGGTTTTACATAGGAATAGGCGGTAAAAATCTTTGAAATACTTCTTCTCAAGAACAACAGAGGCATGAAATGTCATATTGATATGGTAGAATTCTCATGTCGTGTAGAATAATGCTTATACAAATCAAAAGTCCCAGGGATAGGGTGGGACCACATTGGCAAGTTTTACATTGGAATACCGTTTATTGAAAAAAAAAAAAAAATTAAAACCTTCTCACAACCAAATGGGCGAGAGGAGTGGAAATTTAGGAGAAAACTTCATAACACAGTGTAGTTTGAATTTGTCAAATCATGATCCCGTCGGTAGGGTAAGGCCACAATGGCCAATCAAAGTTTAACAATGGAATATATTTGGGGAAAATCTACAGTTGCAGTACATTACTGCCACAGCGAGTCAGGTGAACGTTGTGACCCATGGTCCTCTAGTTTTATTAGCGAGCATTTTACATAAATACCAGTGTTGAAAAAAGGACAAAATGCATTGTCTGCCATTGTAATATATGCTTTTTGAATTGGCAATTGGAATTCAATGTAGACCATGTTATAAGTAATCATGGTAATCAAAGTTATTCTAATCAAGTATGAAAACATAATTATGTTAATGCATCGTCTACTGATACAATTCTTTTAAAAATAATATATAAAAATATACATATAAAAATATATGCTATGCTTAGATGCTGTTATCAAATTAATTCAATGATGAATCAGTGCTTAAAATATGAATAATACTTACTGCTAAAACACAAGCAATTGCCACCAGAAGTTTCATAATGTCTGATCTACATAAAAAAAAAAAGGTTCGTAATTAAACTCCGTCAAAGTATGCAACCTGTTTTAATAAAAAGATCCTTGATTTGAAGATATTGATTTAAGTGAAGATAACAAAAACATCTTTATCATTTAGAGATGAATTCAAAAATAAACATATTAAATTTTTAAAAAAAAAAGGAAAACACCTTATTAGATAATTATAACTCATATAGTATCAATATATATATATATATATATATATATATATATATATATATATATATATATATATATATATATATATATATATATATATATATATATATATATATATTCTAGTTCATTTAACTAAAGTAGACTACATCAATTAAATTATCCCAAAAGCAGGAAGTTTTTTTGTAAATTGAAAGCGGTTCTTTCTTTTTTTTTTATACAACCGACCAGACATTCTGACTTTGATTTTCATATTATCCAAAATATTGAGCTCGATCACATTTGGAAAGATATATCGGAAATGCAGTATTGAATTCATTGTAAATGCCATATCAACATGTTGGTTCGCGCTTTAGAAATAGAGATGTGTCATATCGAAATGTTGTTCTGCGATTTCAAAACGGAAATGTTTAATCACTAGAAATAGAGATTTTAAAAACAGAGATCCTATGCCTTTAAGCAATTTGAAATATACTGGATACAAAAGATAGGGATTATAAAAAAACATACTTTTATATGCACTCTTGTAAAGAAAAAAGTTTGCTTTTTACTTAATATTTTCGTCATTTTATTTCATTTAAAATTCATAGTGATTAACAAGAACCTCAACAAAATTTTCATATGCATACAGAAAAACACACACAATTTCTAGCATATCTGTTAACATAAAAAATAATTTGGACTCTTTATTTTTTTTACAATGTTTGTCAGTATTTTGTATGACTTCCCCGCAAAGAAATAACAGTTCTACAACACCTTCCATGCTGCCCATTAGCCGTGCAATGCTCTCCTGTATTATCTGCTGCCATTCTTCTTGCATGAAGTAATAAATTCTTGACGATTCTGGGAAGTGTTGGACGAGCTAAAATACGAATCTCATCACGATACTATAAACCTGACAGGAAACCTTCAATAATGAGCAAATCAGTTTTGTAGTCAACACTTATCCCTGCCCAAATCATTAGTGATCTACTACCAAATCTATCATGCTCAGAAATGCAACAATCAGAATATCTCTCTCCCTCTGTTCTCCACTCAAGTCTTCTACCATCATGGAAGTCGACACAAAATCGAGATTCGAGAACTGAGCGCTAATGACGTTGATGTCAATTTCTATGCTCTCTTGCCTATTTCTGCAATGCTCCAGTTCTGCTATGGAACATACGGCTGGTCTGCAAGCTTTGAGATTAGCGTAATGTACATGCAGTCTGTTTCTTACAGTCTGAGTTGAAAATTGTGTTCCTGTTGCTCTCTAGAAGTCAACGTTTGACTTAACTGCACTTTGAAAGCGTTGTCTTTCAGCAACGTTGGCCAAATAACGGTCCTCATGGGCTGTGGTACACTTTAGACGTCCTGATTTTGGTCTTCTTTGGACGTTACCCGTCTGCAAATACCGGTTCCATAGACGACTGATAACGCTCTGTGAAACACGGAGTCATTCTGCAAAGGACTGTTGAATTTTGCCAGCTTCCAGCTGCATCTTTATTGCTCTGGAACTTTCAATCACATTTATACGAGGGGTTATCAAAAAGTTCGTGGACTAGCGCCATAAAATTAAAACCGCTTTAGATACATCAATGAATTTTTACATATTTACTTAGCATCATCGTTTCTATCGATCGAATAAACCATAAATCATAAGGTTTATTTTTTAATAAATTGTTAATGTTTTTGTAAGCAATGGTATGTCCAGGCGGCGCAACCTCAAATATTACGCTTTTTCTACCTGAGTGTATCTGAGAAAAACTCTTAAGATACGACATTTGTCATAAAAAATCCTTTTAATTCAGGCATGTGGTACGACACAATTGTTCCGTAAAAATTGCAATTTTTACCCCATTCTGTAAGTAATATGACATTTTATCGTAAATATTATATGAAGTGTCCAAACAATTATGCGCTTGAAAATAACGTCAAAAAGGGGGAGGGGTTTCTTTTTCCAACATTCTATAAAGTTTCGCTCCTGGAAAAACTGGTAAGGAATGTTTAAAAGGGCAACAGAAAAATAAAATGCACCCACAGTACTTGTTTTTAAATGTCCAAAAAGATTCAGAAAGATGAAAAGTGCACAGTTAGTGTCTATTTGTAGTCAGGGTGTCAAAAGTCAGTCACGTCGAAAATGACGTTGATCATGTGTGGTAAAATTGAATCCCAACAAGCTAAGTATTCTGGCATAATCAAGTGAGGGTCCTTCCTTATGTATAGATCCATTTACAATATTATATGCATTGAAAGCAGCTGCTCTGACATTGTAAAGTCATATAAACAAGACGGGCTTAAGTCCTTACTTAACTCAAGGTAATCTCATCATGATAAGTGTATGAGTTAGAGAGAGCAGACATTGAGAACAATGACGTTGTCGGACGTCATGAAACTAAACGGTGACAGCACCGGATGATCATATAATATCTTTTTATTATTTTACAATAATTTGGCAAATTATCAACGTATCTAGCTAAAATTTTCAACATTTCTTAAACTTTTGTTGTTTTATGTTCCTTATAAATTTTGTAAGCATAGACTACATAGTATTAATTTTATCGCATCAGTCTACGAACGTTTTGCTTACCCCTCGTTCAGCAAGAATCCTATCCCCTCCAAAACGAAATGATTTATGTATACTACAGGAAACCGAATTGAGATCTCTCGCCTCTCTAAGTATCACTCAGTTTTCCTACACCCCTCTTTTCTAAAGCAACTCACCGGCAACACGCAGCAATGTTAACGCTTCCCGAAGCTTTAAAATACGCTCAAAACATAACATTTCATTGCGAGGTCGGTTTTGGTTTTAATTTAAAAGTATTGTACTTTAGTACTTCCAATTTATATAGAGGGTTCCCTCGGCTATAAACTAACATGTTTGTTATGATATCACATGACTTTGTTGATCACGTGACGGTCATTTATAATTTTTTTAAGTGCTTCACATAAATCGCTTCGGCGCAGCTGATTAACACAATAATTATAAATATTTTGTTATATAAATAAACTCATCGTTTCCTTGTGTACCCGAAATGTGCTTGGGAAAAGTCATAGTATTACTTGGGTACAAAATATTTCGTTAGAAATTCAACTTACCTACAAATTTGAGGGTATTTTCCACACAATATCGTACTCTGTATTAAAACAAAGCCATCACACATTTTTCCCAAGCAAGATTCAGTTAGAGTACAACCTCTTCTTACAGATTTCCACAAAGAATCTCAGATTAATCCTCATTAATCACCTGCGCCAGACTCTTTTATACGCACAAAATAAATTCTATCTCAAACCACGGTTATAAAACAGAGTACATTTCAAAACTATATTTTTCGTAGGCATTTTAAACATGCTGAATTTCAATCAAGGGTACGTAAGCGATGTATTTAAAAAAAAGAATAGACATATAAGACTTGAAAAAAACCTTTAACGACCAGTAAATTTTGCAGAAGGTGTCTAGCATTTTACATGCAGTTTGAAATAAAGTGTAAAATTTATGACACTCTCCCCGTCATAACACCTTAAGTTGGCATTGACTTGACGTCATTTTCCATTATGACGTCATATTTTGGTAGTTCAGAGAAGTGAAGGCACAGAGTGCACTGTGATTTTCTACGGGAAGCCTTAACATACCTGCGCACTACTCGAATTCTGGGTAAATCTGGGTGAATGGCATATTTATTAAGCTACTGCAAGCTTTGTCGTAAAATAATTTCAGCTTTTGAAAATATTGTTATTGAAGTAAAACTACAATCCATAACTTTTTTGGCCCAGTATAAATCAACTTTCATAAAGTTATGAAGCTACATCATATATAAGTGTATGAAACTTGGAATAATTTAACAAATCTGTAACATACCAAGCGAGCAATACGTAAGAGAAATATTTCAATTGACACGTAAATGATTTTGAAAAACATTATGTTATTGATGTTTGTTTGTCTTTGAGGAACATGAGATTACAAGAAACATGACAGGTCTCGATCCTGAAGTTACAATCTATATCCGATATGCAGCGATATAAGTCAAATATGCACAGTAAAGAGATTTTATTTCACTTACAACTCACATATCATGTTGTAAATTTTGAGTTAATGGCCACCCAGTAAATTTACAACATCGTACACATCTCAACTATATATTCAAAATCGAAATTATACATGTAACCAGGCAGTTTTGTTTGTATTTACAGGACGTCGTGTTAATTTTTGTGGTTGTAAACATTTTGCAAACGTGCCTGTGCAATAGCCAAACTTCCATAAACCCTTAAAAGCTATAGGCCTATTTGTCAATAACGGGTCCTTCTAAAAGTTCTACGTAAAAGTTGCCTTTAACGAAATGGACTTTAAATGAATAAATAATAATATACTTAAGAAAATAAAAACACCTCAAGTAATGTATATATCAATAATAAAAAATGAAATGTGATTAAAATATTTTAAATTCAAAGTAATTCTGAGTTGTTATGATTTGACAGTTTTGCTTTGACTTATTAGGAGGAAAATAAAATGCGCCAAGATACTAAAAATATCTTACCGCGAACAGTGTTATCATGACGACATACTGACAAGGAAGCCCAACAAGTGTTTGGTTATCACAGTGCCAAAGTAATTTATCAGGAAAATGTCCTTTAGTTTGAATGTTTTTAACATGATAACAGAAAAGAATCACAGATAGCCGCATTAGTCTTAGTATTCTACGCACATCTTTTATCAATTTTGCAAAGTTTTGTTGTTGTTGTTGATGTTGTTGTTGTTGTGAAGGGAGCTTCCATTCGTGATCTCTTCTGTACGGAGATGCTGTTTCAGATTTACTAAAAACCATATTCAAATTC